TGAAGCATCTCCAGGGTATTCATTCTTTAGACTTGAGCTTTGTAGGGAAAAAAGTTAATTACCATCACTAGATAGTATATTGTTTGTATTTATAATTTCCCAACTGTATTACTCAGTATTTGCTATGTACTTATACATTATTGGATTCACCAAGATTAGCCTAGAATTTATTAAAAGTCTGTCTGGTTCTAGGGTCTACACACATAAAATTAACTGTTAGGCAAACTATTATGCACTTTCCGTGAAATTTGATTTGGGTATGCTTATGTTGAGCTGCAACAGCTCATAATGGAGTTAACAGTCAAGATCTTGTTCTCTTCTACAAAAATAAAGCTAAGAGCTAAAGAAACATACCAACTTTATAAAAACAAAAGATATCCTAATAAACAAAAAAACTGAATTCTTGTGCTTGACACCCTTCTCTCACTACCCCCTTTTTTGTTTTGTTTTAGACCAAAGAGAGTCTACAGTATGCATTGGAAACTCTGACTATGAATGGCTGCTCAGTTGAAGATCTGGGACTGGATTTCACTCTGCCAGGGTTTCCCAACATCGAACTGAAGAAAGGAGGGAAGGATATACCAGTCACTATCTACAATTTAGAGGAGTATCTAAGAGTATGTAGCTGCGTGTCTTTTGGGGGGCAGGCCAGCTGTGAGGATGTAGGACTGTGCCTGTTTGAACTCCTCTTGAGGGAAAGGGAAGGGAGCTCACCTAGTGAAGCAAAAGCAGGTGTCATTTAACTTCTGCCTGCACAGACTGTGGCTTGAGACCTTCCACATGCTCAGGACCACTGCATGAAGGCTCCTTTGTCAGGCCTTCCTTAGCTCTGTTTGCTCTGGAGAGAACATATCAAATATTTCTTGATGTCTTACATAACCTTGAATTATCCATCCTCAAGTTTGAACGCTAATAACACAACATTGTCTCGGTTTTAGGAAAAATGAGTGAAAAGGACCCATCACTTGTGTTCTCACTAAAGTGTGTTTCTGCCTTTCCTTCAAGCCAGCTTACTTGACAGAATTGCCTCCAGCATGCATATGTGCACACTCACGTGTTTGAGGCCTTTCAGATTATTAATATTTATTCGTGGTCCTTGACCATGTTTGCTAAATTGAGGAAAGGCAATTTTTTTTTTTTTTTTT